TTCTGTTATTTTCGGGCATAAGCATAAATTAATGTTCTTGTAGGTACATAATCTTGTAGCAATTGGTTTTTTTTTGCCTGATCTAGTAACTGGCTTACCTGATGTAATGACGATTTCTGGCTTTATAACACTTAAATGTGTTTTACATAAATGAACTAAATCAGGTCCTCTCTTCAAATCTTTATATTTACTGATGTGGAGATCAGAAATCTGAAAATAACAATTAACAAACAAATTACTATCAGCTGGTTCATAGATAATGACACAAAGCTCGTCTGAATTAATGATCTAGGCCTTATAAATTGTTTTAGTTCAATATCTGCTAAATGTTTCCCTGTCCTGTTGGCAACACTATCCCAACTTTCTGTGTTGTTTTGTAACACACAAGATAAAGTAAACCAAAAGCCCTAATAACTGATCAGACATTGTAGTAATGACTTTATCATTTTGATTCAACCATGCAAAGATACCGTTGGTAGATTTTAGCATTGAAATTTTACCTGAACAAACCAGAACAGATTCTCCAGTTTGTCATTCAGACTGTGTCCAGTTTTATCAGGGTCAAATTGATACGGCGGTGTGTTGTCATCTGAATCGTATTCTTTGTCGGGGTTCAAAGAATCATAAAGTAATGAGAAAATCAAACCCAAAATAATCAAAATGCCGATTAAAAAACTGAACAACTTCATCCTGGACATAGAAATGGGAGTTCTGACGAAATTTTGCGTTGATCTTGCGTGTCATTTCTATCTAATTATAGGAATAATCATATTTTGCATTGTTTTGAGCTGTCTGCTAAATTTTTTGTCTGGAAATGAAGAGTAATTAAAGGGGAATAACTCTTAAAATTGACCGACATTTTTTCAGGAACGCAGCATACCGGTACATAGATGTTTATCACTCTAAATATTCTGTTATTTCTTTTAAGCAATTTAGCAAATTTCTGACTACCTGTATCTATGTTCGAAATTGAAATTCAAGGTGGACGTTGATTACAATTAAATACTAGAGCCACTCGTGGCACAGAGTGGGACTTTGCAAATGTAGCAATTTGCTAAAGACCCCGAAAAAATCAACCATCGACGATAATTAGATCAAGCGCAAGAACAAGTCTAAAGTTGATAATTTTTTATTTTTTAGAAGATTCTAATACCGGAAGTAGTCGTAGACCTCACAAATGAAAGTATCAGCAGATAGCCAAGGTCAATGACCTTTGATCTTGTAAAGGAGAAGGCCTAAAAAGGTCATAATCAAAGACATACGCCATTAAAATTTCAAATTGCTAACGAATATAAAACCAGAAGTTGACTTAGGACAGCAAATATAAAAGTATAAATAGATAACCAATGCCTATGACGTTTGATCCTACAAAGGTCAAGGTCAACAAAGGTCAAGGTCAAAAATTGAAAATTTTGAATTTCCAAAACCTATTCCTTTTTTTGAACTAAGAAGCGGAAACAACCAAAATTCTAAGACAAGGTGGCTCAACATATGAGGTAATTGTGTAAAAAGTTCCATTTTGAACAAATGTATACTTTGCGAGTTATGCCCCTGGCCAAAAAAGTCAATAATGAGTAATTTAACCCGGAAGTGCCACGCCCAACTCAATTTTTTTTGAATAAATTAATCAATATTCAAAATGTTACGTTATGTTCCAAATGTCAAGTTCCTACATAATAGAGGTCAAAAGATATAGGTCAACAAAAGTCAAAAAAGGTCAAAATCGAAAAATGAAAATATCCAAATGTTAAAACCCGTTCCTTTTTTGAAACTATAAAGCTGAAACAACTGAGCTGTTAATACATACTGGCCAAAAGGATGAGGTAATTGTGTGCAAAGTCTCTTTTTGAACAAACGCATCCTATGCGAGTTATGCCCCAGCCCCAAAATGTAAACAAATAGTAATTTAACCCGGATGTGCCACGCCCCACATAGTTTTTTGTCATAG